AAAAACAATGCAACTGGGTGGCGGTAGTAGTCAGCCTTCATCTTCTGGTAGAATACCTTGGACTCACCGCTGCTGGCCTTTGCGATCAGCTTGCCGTCCAGAAGTGCGAGGATGGTGTCGCAGATGGACTGCAACTCGTCCTCAACCTCCCAGCCAATCAGAACAAACATCCGGAGATCGAACTGACATTCGAATATCGCCCTGAGGTGTAGTGTGCAGGGTTTAAAGTTTAGGTTTAGGGCTTAGGGGCGACTACGCCTGAAATAAGAACCATCAGGCCATTAGCCCCCCCCCCCCCATAAAAAGGAAAGGCATCTGCGTGGCAAAAAGGGACCCTGATTTGGAGAACTACCCATCTTGAGTTCCAGTCCTGTTCTACGCAGGTGGAGGGGGCGGGTTCAAAGAAGTAGGCGTCATGTTCTGTGGTGCTTACAATCAGCGTTTCAGGAATTGGGTCTGGGTTTTTTGTCCGGTGCTCTCTGACACTGCCAATGGGTCATCAAGCTTGTGCTCATATGGGTATTTCTCGAAATTAGGGTTCGAGAGAGCACCTCCGCATCCTGCTAGCTCGCAGGCAACACACCGCGTAGATACTATGGACTGTTAAACTGAGATGTGAATACTTCTCTAAATTTGGGTGCTTATAAAGGGACCGTAAAAGGAGCTGGATGTCCACCGAAGGTACACATCAACAGAAGTGCTCAACCTCATATGCCCTATCCGAAATAGACGGCTGAAGCGATCCGAGTAATGTAGGGGCCTCAATGATTCAAACAATATGGTTGTGGTGTACATTAGTCCACAAATATCTCGGGGGTCCCAAGGAGTCAGTCGTATCAGTAATTATTGCGCATTCAGATCCTTATGATCGAAGGTCCGGAGTCCACATGCTAGCATCAGCCGACAGGCGTGCTGCCGACAAAATCGCTACTCTGAGAAAGGTCAGACCTTCTTGCAGTACTCCTTGGCGAAGGCGGCATTCTCTGTGTTGCCTTTGGTTGTCTCCTTCCTCAACTGCGAGACATGTGCATATCAGCAGAAGAGACAAAGCAGAATAAAGTGATCTCCGCTACTGCCACGAAGGCGGGAAACAATTCGTTACAAATGCGCCTTCACTGCCACCCCAGCTTCTGCATGACGCTCGTGATGATGCGCCACGCAGCACGGCGAGAGCCCACAGTGTTCTTGTAGGCCACAGACAGCAAGTTGCGCTCCTCCACGGAGAGCTCGCTGTCGGCATNNGCAAGCTTGGCCTCAGAAAATGCCAGTCAAACACGACGAGTCAGCACAGCCCAAAGCTCAAGCAGAGGCTCGCTGCTTTATAGCCAAGTTTCAAAGTACACGTCCTTCTCACGAGGCGGCATGGCTGCAAAAGGCCTCCCGAAAGAGGGGCTGGCAGAAATGCAAGAAGACTTTGAACCTCGATACAGCTTTGCAGCTTCGTGGCTTGAGCAGCAAAATTGCAGCACGATCCAAGACGCTCTGGATCAAGTTGCTACGGAAAGCACCGTCAAGAAAAGAGGTCAAAGGTGCTCACCACCTAAGAGCAGCAACTGCAGCAGAGAATAACATGTTTTCGCTTTCGAAACTTGCAGTCACCCGAGCCACGGGACAGAAGCCCCGTAGATCCTCTGGTGGTCTCTTATGCATCCAACTGACGTTTAGGCCTGTCCTCCCTCCTGGTCGGAGGTCCACAGCGTCAGGTTGTCCCTCAGAAGCTGCATGATCAGGGTCGAGTCCTTGTAAGAGTCCTCTGCCACATTGTCCAGCTCAGCAATGGCATCCTCGAAAGCAGTGCGCGCCATCTTGCAGGCATCGTCGGGATTGCCCAACACCTCGTACATGAACACCGAGTAGTTCAATGCCAGGCCAAGGCGGATGGGATGCGTCACGGCCAGATCTTTCTTGGCAACGTCCTCTGCCTGCTGTCAATGGCAAGTATGGGCAAGAGACGTCGACATCAGGTATTTTGGCCCCATTGACTTTGGTACTTGTGGCTGACAGTCCTAGGGTTTTAAACCATCAGTTTGCACATCGTCGCATTTGGAACGCATCCT